ACTTGTACTTAAATGCTTTTTTCTGGAAATGTAATTGGATTTGTAATTAAATACTTTTTTACGAAGTATTTTGTATTTGTATTTCGATACATATTTACATGTATTTTGCCCATCCCTGCTCAGATGTAATCATACCGCTTTCATGTAGCGCAATTTGCCTTTGAAAATTTGTTTTTCATACGAATTGGCACGAAACCTTCGTCACGCAGAGGGTAAGCAAAACTCATGGAGTATAAACAAGTAATGGATTAGGCTCTATAGTCCCTGTTGCTCTTTCGGTAGATTGACCAGTTGCCATCAGCCCTATTTACCGCGTACTTCAGACCGATTTTCAAGAAAATTTATCAGGTGCGTCCGACACACACCCATGACACGGAGCGAGTGACTTCCGCTGCAGTCCGTGCCTCCTTTAGTGTGACATTGTGTAGGGGGGATCGTAGGAGCGACAATTCTACAATGTTTCAAAAGACGATCACACTGCCCAGCAGCGAGAGAGTATCAACGCGCACGCTTTACGCGTACCATACTTTCGGCCACTCGTGACACTTACGTAAACAGTTTTATTTTCCTATTTACCTTGGTTGTCATGCATTGTTTGTTTGAAATCTTCGGCAGTGAAATGTTTGGAGCAAACCATCGCGTGAATCTGATCTCAACTTGGAGAGTCACTCTTTCCTCAGCGCGGAGTTTTAAGGATTCACATTAAAATATAAACCAGATGATACGTGTCATTGTCTTCCAAATTATATTGTGTTTATATATAGACATTATGAGCCTGCCTTGAGACATTTTTACTATTTTTCGTTTTGTCGCCTAAGATTCTATTCATTTCTTTATCATTACATCTAAAACGGTGCAACTTATATAATATGCTGCAAATAGCGAAGATAAACGAATGTGCAACTAGCTTACCTCTTTCAAAGGGCTTATTTTTGTGCTTGCTCTAGCCAGAGCTTGTACGCTAATTTTTCGTGTTTAAATTATTACGTCTGAATTCCGCAAGGCGTAAATTTCAAGGTTCAATCAAATCATTTTAATTTATAAAAATATTTAATTAGCAGGATTGCGTTTTCAAGGCCACGAAAAAGGTACATAAAATGTAAATCTAAGTAATAAAATAGGAAATGTAATTTTAGGGACAGTCGAAGAATGCTCATAATTTTTAAAATGGCCATACACCGATAACTTCAGTCCGTGCACCTAAAAGTTCGTGCACCAGAAAGGCCCGCGCACCAGAAAAAGTCAGTGCACTGAAACGTCCGTTCACCGGAAAGTCCGTGCACACAAACGCTCGCAACAGAACGTCCTCGGACCTCTAATCATGCTATGAAACAGACTTCTCGACGGCGGGGTATGATGAATATTCGCCTGTGCCACGTAAAAAAAGTGGTTAAATGCAGGAACTTTTTTGGGGGGGCCGCACTGATTATCTGCATTAGAAACACGCTTCTGGCTAGATGTAGTGGCCACCACATCAGCGGATCGTGGTACTTTAAGTTGAGTTTTCAGTAAAACAAGCTTGCCAATAAGAAGGAAAACAACACTCCCTTTCTTGTTGACAAGTGTTTTGACTGATATAAATCCCTCAAGCGTTGAAAATATCATATCTTGTTTTGACGATATTAGGCTTAGGTGGACGTTGGCTCATAGGAAAATTTAGCTTGTGTTAATTACCCTTTGATCCATGCAACGCCATATTCTCAAACTTTCGCTTTCTGACCCAACAGCTTCACATTTTCACGGAGTACGAACTTTCTGCGATGCATACGTAGTTTATTTATCTGGGCCGAAAAGCACGGTTCTCTTTCCTTGGGGGCCCCTGTACATCACCGAGTGCTTTGTGGGGAGCAAATTACTCTCTAAGAAAAAAGGTTGCCAATGGGGGGAAAATTGGTGCCAAGAAAGAACTGCTTCTCACATAATATTGCTTTAAAGCGTACTATCCTGCTACAAATGTTGTCCCCAGAAAAAATAACGTTATTTGGCCAAAGAAAGCCAAAACGTACAAGCCACGCGCGCGTTTTTTTATATATTTTTTTTTATTTCATTTAAGAGTTGCGAATGTACTGCTAAGTGAGCGGTTCGGAGCACACAGTCGCGCGGGCTCGTGTTTCAAACTGATATCAATTAACGTTTTTCCATTATTGAATATTGTGATATTTTCCCAGTGGTGCACCGCTGCGGTGAGAGACTGTTTTTCTTCTCCCACTTTTTTATTGTTTGGCCTAAATCAAATGACACAATGTTACTAGTTTGCCCTTTATCAATATTTATGGTAAGACAACACGCGTTTGCCTAAAAAGGGGGTCACAAATAAATATAACAGAATTTTTTCTTTAGGGTGCATCTTCTGGGCAGAGTGTCGCAAACTGCCAGGACGATCTCATAACACGCAAACATCTTTCCAGCGACGCCACTGTTGGAAGGATGATCGCTTGTAATATAAATTCGACACAGCAGAATACGATAAAATGACTTTAACTGCATATTCCGAAGGCCCGTTTACACACTTGCGTTTGCTTACGACCGAGTTCTTGTGATTTCTTAGGACGAGAGAATACACTGGGAAGCTCATGCTATTTGCGAGGTCAAATGAATGTGAAGCAGTCAAATAATATATATAGAGATGTGTTTTTCTTGACATCGTGCTGAACTTGTACTAAATTTGAAAATCTATAATTTTTCATAGCTTACTTCTCAATATATAAAAGTGCGCGTTCAACGCGCTCCCTAACGTTACGTCGACAGCTAGCGTGCGTTGTACTCAGTGCTGACGCAAGGGTCTTTACGCTATTCTAAAACTCTCTAATGAAACGTGCTGTATATGGCATCAATTTTGAATTTGATTCCAATGTACTCCAAAAACTCTACTCGAGAAAAAATAATGAAAGATTGGCGCTGCAAAGGCGTGTTTGGGAATGCTTACAAAATTCTTGGCGATAAATACTAAGCATTATTTTATATTTTGACTGTTTATGTTATACATAGAATACTCAAAAAAGTATCGACGATCTGTCGCTAAAGGTTCGAGGTTGATCGCGAATCGAACATGACAGTCGTCAAAACTCCGCCTTCCTTTCCCTTTCCTTTGGGATTTATTTGCCTGACTGTCATTCGTGAGATTTCTATGTTTTCGGGTAAATCTGAAAAAAGTGGAAGAACAATCGCCGGTACATTTTCCGTCGATAAGGATTTTTCTGAAAAACACAAAATTTCAAAATCAGAACGACAGAAAAAAAAAAGACGGTGTTTTACAAATAAACTTTTTATGAGCACAGTGTCACTGTTTCTGATGGCGTGCCACTTCAGTTTCCTTTGAAATATTTACGTAGAACTACTCACAAAGGGGGTTTGCCCTTTGAGGTTCCTTCAAGACAGTGGGTCACGGTACCCGGATTTTATTTTGTTTTTGAAGCTTTTTAATTATAACAACACAGGCAAATTAGATCAGTATTTAAAAGATTGTGAATTTAACAAAAATAAACTCGGATAAACCCAGAATTATCAGCGAAAAATAAACTCGAAAAAAAATACACTCCGACTTCACGAGAAATAAACTCCGAAAACACGCGGAATCCTTGCCGCATTCGAAAACAATATACGGATGCATCTCACTGCCTGTATTCAATTAACTTACTGATCAACCTTTGAGAAACTTAATTGTTCGTGTGCCACATTGTCATTACGAATACTTCTGATCACATAAACTCGTAATTGAAAAAAAAAAGGTTTGGTATTATCTCTGGGCCATACATCGCTCCAAAATTGGTTTCAATGATTTGTTTAGTCGACTGTTTAAGTTTTTTTCCCCTCTTACTTCGTTGGTTAATCAGTAAACCGTATTGCGATGGATCGATTGTTTCTTCAAACGTTTTCCAAACATACTCTCTTTTCTCGGTTGGGATTAGCGACTATTCTAAGAAAAATTCTTTATAGCGGTCACTTCGTTTTGTTTGTTTGTTTTTAAAGATTTTTAGCTATAATTATTTGGTTTAGTAAGACTCATTTATTTGTGTTACCTATGCCCTAAACATCTGGTTCTCTTTTTCTGAGAGTCACTTCTCCCGCATTTCAGCTAGGGTACGGAATACGGACTTTTAAAAGTATTTTTTACGCTTCAAATTACGTAAAGTCTTTTATATCACGCCATGGTTCTCGTTGTCGCCATACGCGGCTGCAGATTGGGAAATACCGTAGTTAGATTTTTGGTTGGCGATTACTCGGCGGAATCGCGGTATTCCGGGAGGAAGAGACGTGTTCTCTTTTATTTCTGGTAAGAGAAACGAATATGCTGCATTACAGCGTTCAAAACTCGAAATGATAGCTGTACGGCATGGAAAAAAAAAAATATATATATCATTAGCGGTGCTGCGCAGCAGGTTCGAAACATAGACTTTGTGGTGGTTCCAATTTTTAGTATCGCCGCTTCAGTGGCGGTAGTGCTCCACTACAAAAGCACAATCCGCGTCTTACTTTTTTGCACAAAGCAGCCTTTACTAAGTGGGAGGGGAAGCTCGGTGCTTTCGCGCAAAGCGTACGCTAAAACCACTCGGTCAAAAAAAACCAAAAAGAGAGAAAAAAAAGGAAGACGACGGAGAGGGGGGCACCGTTTTGGCGGGGCGGTTTTTGTGTGTGTTTGGAGGGGAGGGTACGCCATTTGTGGCGAGTACCGCGCCATCTGTTGAGAGTGCCGCACCAACACTGTACTTAGTTTGCCCTTCTGCCGCAACGCGCCGCGTCGTTAGCGTCGTCGCGATGGTAGGAGGAAACTGGAAGCTGCACTTCCCTGGCTTCCGAGGCATGCATCTCCGCAGTAAATGAGAAAAATGAGAAGTAAACGCGTGGACTCTAAATATTAACAAGTTACTAACAAAATAAATTAAGCAACATTTTATATTCAGTTGTACAAGAAATTGTTATAAATAAATAGCTAATATCTGGAAATATCAGGAAAAGGTTCATACGTATTTACTGCAGAATTATTCTAGGCAATGGCGCCTTTTCCGGCCCGCTAGTATCGCCGCGGCCTCTGCTGTTATCGTGCTACCGCGCTCGCTTTCTCTTTTCGCGAGTGTTATATTCACTTTTAAATTGCAAAGATCAAAAGCGAGCAGACACGAATGAGCCGCTTTCAAGTCTGGGCAAGCAAACAAGTGCGAGTCTCGATTTAGGACCGGTGATTGATAGCCTCCGGCTCGCCACTATTCTCCATTTCATCGAGCACGGTTTCATCGAGCACGGCTACACGGGAATCGGAAGGTGAGTGACCTTTTGGAAGTTAGGCGTTGGGCTGTCTTCAGAGACAGTGGACAATTGTGTTTTGACGCTTGAGAAAGTCAGGGCGGTGGAGCTGCTGTGTCGTCGGTGTGGGCCTGACGCCGCGCCGTCTAAACTCCGCCCCGTCCAGCCCGGGTGCTGTGTCAGAGGGCTGCTTGGCCTCTCGGGCGCAAGCGAGTTCGGCTAGAACCCCAGCAATGTTTGGGGCCGTGTGTTTTTCCCCTCATATGTGTTACTCAGTCAGGCTTTTTTAATCATAAAGTAGACCAAGAAATTTGCTCTCCAAAGATCAATCGTTTTTTTTTGTTTTTTGTTGTTTTTGCGTTTTTTTTTTTTTTTTTACACAGTAATGGCTTTTGATCGAAGCTACTAATGGTTGTTTCACTTCGTGTGCAAACGAAGCCGAAGCTACTAGCACAAGCATGTTCCCCTGAACCTTTGCTTGCACTGCACGCTCGCGCGTGCTTGGCAGGGGCGCTGAAAGCCTCGCGTTTAGAATGAAATGGATATGGTGGGTCAATGTGTGCTTGCATGGGGCATAGTTTAGTGCTGGACTCGATTCTGCAGAAGCAAAATACGAAAGAGCGCCAATACCGTATTTGCATTCCTACAGTGGATTTCAAGCAGGTGCATAGAGCGCAGTGTTTAGCACAGTAAAATTAAAGATTCTCAATTAATCAGTAATATGTTGTTTTTAATACCATACATAAACTCTGATGTTGATTATATACTATTTGCACACTCATGAAGGCACACCATCATGTCTGCACTTTCCTTTGGCAGTTTCGTGATTAAGATCACTATACATATCCTACCTCTGCAAAATACATCCACGTCTGCCCTCTTGCGGAGCACATTGTAATCCAATCACCGCAAAGTGCACCCAGATGATTACGGGGCTTACAGTATGATGCAATTTAAGAACGTAATTTTAACATGGATATGTTCAATTTCCTTGCACAGATCACTTCCTCGGTGCCTCGTCGTACACTGGATGCACTCCATACATGGAAGGAACTGGCCTACTGTGGATTTGTGGGAAAGAAGGTGTGCAAGTACATTTAATGCTCTGCTTTTGTATTTGAGTGGCACTCTACTTTTGATAGCAAATTTATTTTTGACTTTTATTGAACCCATTTTTTTGCATTTTCAGGAAAGGCCAGTGAGCAGGCATTAACGGGGCCAATGGACCATAAAAATGCCCCTCGTAACTTCTACTAAGGAATGTGCTATCCTTTTTGACTATACCAGTCAAGTCGTGTACGAGGCAAGTTTGAACATTGTTATATGTGCCTATTTGTTTCCAGAGCTGTGAAGCAACATTTTTTGGTAATTAGCCACAAAATTACAGTTCAAAGGCCTATATTTTGTGCCTATTTTTTAAGTATGGAACCAGTGTTGTATAGGCATCTTTAATATTCGCCTCAAGATCAAACTGTGTGGCAAATATGGTAAAATTTACTTAAAGGGCAACTCCACTTCATTTTAGTTTTGAAAAAAACATTGCAGTCCACTTCAGTATCGCCTAGGAATACCACACATCAAATATTACGACCCAGTTCCGTCTAAATGTTTCTTAAACGGTCCGGCAAACTTTGCAACTCGCCAAGTTGCCGAAATCGGCTGACTCGAGCGGGCAAATTCAGGCGCAACCAACAGCGCAGTCAAGGTTACGGCATGGGCGGAGCCAACATTGAGCTAAACGTCATCATCATGGCCCTCTTTTGCTTCTTTTTACTTCTCCAATCGAGCGTAGCGCATGACGTCAGCAATGTTGCCTCTCGGCGCTCAGCGGTGTCCACGCGATTGGCGTACGCGCCTGCGCAGCGCGCTTCTTGGGAGCAGACCCACCGCCCGCCGTGGTCCCGCCGTTACCGCCGTCTTCCGCGTCACAACCACCGTCGTCGTCTCACCGTTTGTGATTATTGCCTCGCGGAGTTTCGTCCACACTATGGACACGACGTGCGCAGAGTCGCAGACTTTTGCCGCAGTTGTGCAGACGTCGTCGAATGCCGTAGACACCAAAACGTGGCGAAGAGTGTGGTGCAGACGACACTCGCGCCTGCCGCACGCCCGCCCGCCCCCATCCCGCCTGTCGTTGGGCCGAGGATCACGTGACACCTCGTACCACGTGATGGCCATGTACTTGGCGGCCCGATGCCAATGTTGCCGGACGGAGCCGAAGTTTCGGTTCCGATTTCCGCTTGTGTTTAAAATTAGATTTAAAAATATATATCCCATTTTTCGCGAAGCAGGCAACGTAGTGTTTTTTACTAGGGCTTTTTAATTCGAAATCAATCATTATCCTGAAATCTTCGGAATTGAGCGCAGTTGCCCTTTAATGAAAGTTGTCTGCACTTACCCCTTCAAATGGTTTTGTTAGGGTCACGAGATGTAGAAATGAGCTCCCCACGGCAAAGACTATATTCTGTTACAACTAAAAAAAGTGCAAAAATGAGACGAAGGATGAGTGAGAAGAATGTACACGAGAAGCGCTGACTTCCAACTGAATTTTTATTAGGAAGAAACATGAAACGTTCGAACCACCAAAACACCAAACACTGCCAATCTTATCAATGTGATTACAATATTGCTTCGTAAGGACACTGTTACGAAGCAATACTGTAATCACATTGACAAGATTGGCGGTGTTTCATGTTTTGGTGGTTGGAGGGGTTTTATGCTTTTTCCTAATAAAAATTCAGTGACAAGTAGGGATGTCGCGAACCACCCCTGGTTCGATTTCGAAAGGTTTCGATAGTTGCGAAGCGAACTGAGGTTCGATTTCTAAAAATTTCGATATTTTCGTACCGACTGAGGTTCGAATTCGAAAAATTCGCAACTTTCGAACACAGTGGAGTTTCGTATTCGAAAAGTTCGAAGCTTTCACGGTTTCTAAAATTTCGGATTCGAATATTTCGAATATTTTTTTTTGAAAATAAAGGTCGAAAACTTCGAACGCTTCGAATTTTTATAGCCATGAAGGTCGATAAATTCGAAGATTTCGAAATTCTTTGGAAATAAAGTTCGAAAACTTCGAACGCTTCGAATTTTTATAGACGTGAAGTTCAAACAATTCGAACATTTCGAATTTCTTTCTGCGTAAAGTTCGAGAAGTTCGAAGGTTTCGATTCTCTTTTAACGCTAAATTGGGAGAAAAAAAAAACTTTGAAGATTTTGAATTCCTTTCTAGTCCAAGTTTCAAAGTTCGAAGTCCGGTTTTCAAGTTCCTCAACAGTTTGTTTCAAATAACGTTTTCACGACTCACTGGTTTTCACAAAATCAAGTTTAGAAAAGTTAGGATGTGATATCTAGATTCTGCGAAGTTGGTCAGGCATTAAAACTTGGGTTTGGGCTAGTTGGTCCATTACTGAATAAAAGGTTAAAAAGCGCGAACAAACGAGGACAATAAAGAAACACGGACGACAGGACAGGCGCTTCTTGCATTAATACTTGGGTTTGGGCTAGTTGGTAATTAAACGAGACAGGCGATTAAATGAGACGACAAGTGTCCCGGATGTGCCGGAATATTTGCCAGTGCAGGGTGACGTGTGACCATAGATCAGTAATTGTGACCGCCAGCTCGGGGGGGGGGGGGGGGTCGTTCACCTGCATCATGCAGTAGTGATCACACTAACAGCACACTGTTTTACGAGACTCATCCAGTTTGAAACGGCCAGGGGCGAGCAGGAGGTTGAGGCTCAGAAAAAGATTGAAGCGACCTGGCAAACTACCTCGCCACCCCTTGCACGCTGGTAGTAATCCGATCGAACGCCGTCCGAGTGACGCTGCCATAAAGTAAGTTAAGTTTGTAATTGTCCTGGAGGTTTATTTTCTGGGACGGAGGAATCGCCTCCCAAAAAGCCGACACAACTCGAGGTCGAGGAGCGTTCTACCATACAAGTGGCGTCGGAAGAGGAAAAACGGGGGGAAAGAGGGTAGGGGGGGGGGGGGGCTTCAGTTCCCTCCCCCCCCCCAGATATTTCGGACTGTTAAAGAAAACAATACGGGGAAAGAGGGCGTGGTCGAGCTTATTTTAATCTGAAATTATTTATGCATATGTATAGCTACTGTCGCTCTTCACTGCAGAAAAGATGGCGTAGATGGTCATTGTTAGAAACTCGTTGTCAGAAGGCACTACTCGTCGCATGCTTAGTGGTTCGGAAGTTCAAAGCTATGTCTTTTCGACCTAAATACCTGAACCAATAGTGAATAAACAAAAAAAGAGAAAGGAATGAATGCGGGGATAAAAAGCTGAAGAAAAAAAAACTATCACGAATTCGCCGGAAGTGTTGTATTTTTGCATATTCAGTGGTTCAGAACTTCGAAACAAGTTTCTTTTACCAAAATGTGTACAGGCTAAAAGAAACACGTCCCAGGAACGTGAAGCGAAAAAAAAATTGTTTTCTTTTAATGACGTGCTGAGCTTGCACACTATTAGGAATCTTCTCCCATGAGTTAATTTTTTCCTTAACGTGAAAAAACAATAAATACATCATTTTGTATTATGCAGATGGCAATGATATGTACTGTCTGTGGTGTTAACTTAAATGCGACATCTCAAACAACTTAGACGAAAACAAATATCAAGTTTAGGGCATAATTGCATGTAGATACATGTTTGGACATTTCTTCGAAACTCACGTTGAATAACAATAATCACATCTTAAGACAACACTTATTTAGGCTATACATAGATCATTCTTTAAAAAAGTATAACATTTCTACCATAAAGAGCTTCGGCTACAGCCCGCTTCAAATCTGGCACAAACGATAATCGTCAAAAACCCGTCGTCCTTCCTCGCCCCTTCGGGAATTTATTTCTTTAAAACTAAGTATGCCAGAACATTGAAACAAGCGGCATTGTCTTTCGTAAGGAACGCAGCACCGCGTGTAAAAGTTCAAGAAAAAAAATTACGAATGTACCTCACTACTTGAATTCAAATGAAACCCTCCACCAGTCTTTCGAAGTTCGACGAACGTCGAACTTTTACCCTAAAAGTTCGAAGTTCATCGAACTTCGTATATTCCCACCACCATAGGTGGCGGGAATATATTTCCCTATGGGCCTTTAGCAGAACATTATACCTGCGCTTGTTTCTCCGCAGATGTCGAAGTTCTTGTCAGTGGACGAGGCACTGGATGTCTTTTTCTCCCTGCCTGATGATCCAAACCAGTCAAGTGACAGCGAGGAAGAAGAAGACGGCGACGATGTTCCGTCGGGTGCGGTAACCCGTTCGAAAGTCCAGCCGAGTAGCACAGCCTCACAAGGAGCAGCACAAGTGAGTGCGTATGATGCGCACTCAAGTGATGACGCCAGTGATGATGAAGAGACTGCAAGTGAGTGGACAATACGTTCGCTTCCCCACCGAAGCAACATTCCCGATTTTTGCTGCCAAACACCTGCAACTCCTAAGCTTCCTCCAACGCACACGCCAATAATGATCTTTGATGCCCTGTTCGGAGGTGCTTTGACCATACTCGTTGAGCAAACGAACATATACGCCAAAGAAACCAAAAAGAAAGCTTGGCAGGATACCACAGTTGAAGAAATGAAAGGATTCCTAGCAATTCTCATCAGAATGGGCATTCTTCAACTTCAAAACAGACGGGACTACTGGTCCACGGACAGCGACCTCGGAGTGGCATCAGTTAGCTCAGTGATGCCAAGAGCACGATTTTTTCAGCTTCTTCGATCACTGCATGCCAACGACAACAAGACAGCGACTAGAAAAGGAGACGTCGGCCATGACCCTTTGCACACTGCTTCGACCTCTTATCACAGAGCTCTCCGAAACATTCAGAGCTAGCTACCAGCCATCTGCATACCACTCAATTGATGAGAGTATGATTCTGTTCAAAGGAAGGAAGTCATTCAAACAGTACATGCCCCTGAAGCCTATCAAACGTGGGTTCAAAGTATGGGTGCGTGCTGATGCTACAACTGGCTTTATTAGCCAGTTCGAAGTCTACACGGGCAAAGAGGGCGATGGCGGTGGGCTCGGCTACAGGGTAGTCAAGAAATTCACTGAGGAACTGGTCGGGACAGAGTGTCTGGTAGTGTTCGACAACTTTTTTAGTTCACCCGAACTCCTGCAGGATCTGTTTGACCACGGGATATATGCCGTGGGAACTGTCCGTGCACAAAGAAAAGGTCTTCCTGATGTTGTGAAGAACAAAAAGAAAATCAATGAAGGCGACCACAACTACAAGGTGAAGGGAAATGTTGCTGCGATCCAGTGGCAAGACAAGCGGCTAGTCAATGTAGTAACAACAGCCCACGATCCTTCAGAGACGGTAACAGTGGAAAAGAAAAATAAGGACGGGTCAAAGAGAAGCATCAAGTGTCCACTAGCAATTGTGGAGTACACGAAGCACATGCGGGGAGTAGACCGCTTTGATCAGCTGCGAGAGTATCACACCGTTACTCGTAAGTCAAGAAAATGGTGGATGCGAATCTTCTACTTTCTTCTGGACTGTGCTCTTGTGAATAGCTTCATCCTTTACCAGCTGTCAGAGGGGGAGGCGAACCACCAGAGTTTTCTCCTAATACTTGCACGCCAGTTGGCCAACGGCTATAATGGAAGGAAAAGGTCAGCCACGACCGCTTTTCGACGCGTCTTGCAGCAAGCAAATACCAACAAAAACCTTGGCGTGCCAGATGAGGTGCGCCTGTCCAACGGACCACATTACCCACAGGGCGAAGCAGCCTACAAGAGGTGTAGGTACTGCTCCACGGCCAAAAATGACAAAAGATCAAAGATCACATGCACAACTTGCAAAGTACACCTTTGTGTGGTGCCCTGTTTTGCCAAGTTTCACCAAGAGTGTGTGTGGCACTGAAGGCCCAGAGGGAAGAATATTCCCATGCCCTAATTAATGGCTTTCAATTAGTATTTTCATACCTTTTTTATTATTTGTGCTTGTGAGGCAATAAACATTATTTCTAGCGAGTTTCATGTTCCTATCACTGATAGAAACCTTATGGGCTCTTAAGAGTTAAGGCGAATTCGTACCGGCGAAGTAAGCAGTCGCGCGATGCGACTAGATCGCATCGCAAAAATATTAGGTGGTCACACCGGCATGCGCGTTGAGAGAGTCCAACGCCTGCGTTAGCGAGTCGTTTCTCGAAAACTCGCTTCGAACGCCGTTGATTGGCTTAGCCGCTCTGCGACTAGATTGCATTGCAAAAAAATTGCGTCGAGTAGCGGACTGCTCAAATCGCGTCGCTTTTTGTACGCGATGGTCGCTTTTGCGACTGGGTCAAACCGGTTCGACAAACCTTCAAAACTTTTAACCAGATTCGACTTTGTGGACAGCCTGGCAAGACTGTGATACAAGCATGTCTAGGTCTGCAGAAGTTTTTTTCACGCAAAGGTTTATTTTAATTTTATAAACAGTTGCAAATAAAAAGAAACTAACTCTAACCACTGAAGAAATTAATAACTTACTTTTTTGTACTGTATTAACTGGAATAACCAATCGGTGCTGCCCTTAATTCATCCCTTAGCCATCACCATCCAATCCGAAGCCAACTGGCCAGCATGTTGCGCATGCGAATAGCAGTTGAACCCAAGTCGAACCTTTTTCTAACTTTTCGCAAGAAGTTAGAAAAAGTCGAACCTGGTCGAACTCAAACCTCGGCCAGTTCGCGACACCCCTACAAGAAAGGTCTTGCCGGCTAAACGGTTGATATGAGATGCAAAGCGATTGCGTCGTGCAAGACATGATTTGGTAGATGCTTCTCGGCGCAGATTAATACCAGAATCTGCATCGTGTCAGCCCGGCAAAGTTCCTCATACCAACTTTTTTGGTATGAGAAATGGAATGAAAGAATGTTTTGTGGGCAATCGTTGGGGTCATTTTTCTTTAAAAGTCTTACTTCCAACTTTCAGAAAGGCACAAGCATTGGAGACCAGCTGCCTTCACAATCATGCCCCCCCCCCTTTCCTGGTAGTTGCTGTCGGTAAGCAACCTGATAGCCTTTGGCTTTTCTACCTTTCTAATAGAAATGAATGGTTCTTCTACACGTGCAAAAGTGAAAAGTATGCTACTACCATGTTTTTCAGTTTTGTAACCCTTTATTTCCTCAGACCAAAAATTTGTCTTCAGCTTGGTTCAGATGCCCAACACATTCATAAAATATTGCGTCCAGAAATTTCTATTGTGCGTCGTGTGTATGTTTGGGGCGGGGAGGAGGTTTACTTCGTCGGTCCATTTGGTAGACAGGACGTTGTGAGAAAGAGAAATGTAGATAAAATACAACTGTAAGTTTTATTATGAAAACCTTTTAGTACGGGACTGATGAACAAATTAGAATATGAAACAATATGACGTCTTGTCTTCCTCTTTCTTGTTACTTTCTGTAACCTAGTCTTGTAACTTAGAATCATATACTACTACATAAGATTCAATGACATGGAAGGTACTGGAGCTCCTTCAACCCTTAAAAGACACATGCAAAGGAAAAACAATTTTTTTTTAAACAGACTAGATTGAAAAAGATTGTTATAAAACGAATTTACAACGAAAAAATACAATTTTTAGAGCTATATTTATGGCGAAAAACGAATTTGTAGTTGGCGCCCGGGAGAGCCGCCGATGGTCACGTGTTAGACCTGTGCACCGCCGCACTGTGTCTCCAAAGCTGCAAAGTCACGCCGCCACAGCATGCTGAGCATTGTGCGCCGCCGCTCCAATACATTTCTCCACGGCGGTGCGCTCTGGGGTGCCGCCGCCGTCATCTTATCGGTGCACAGGTTTATCACGTCTGCTTGCGCTTTTTCAGGAGCTACCTTTGGGCTCTAAAAGTAACTTATTAGTCTTTGTTTTTTATTGCGCTTCAAACGAAGATGAATAAGTAACTTTTAGAGACCGTAGGAAGCCTCCGAAAGAGTGCAAGTACCATGTGACAAATAGCGGCCAATCACGTGATGAATGTGGGCCACTTCTCCGCGGCACCTGCGGGCGCCAGCTACAAATTCGTTTAGCGCCGTAAGTATAGCTCTAAAAGTTTTTCTTTTTCGTTGCAAATTTGTTTTATGACTTCCTTTTCCTAACCCGGCTGTTCAAAAAAAAAAGTTTGTTTCCTTTGCATGTCTCCTTTAACCGTTTTAAACAAGCCTAGCTCATCCACCTAGAGCCGTCCCCTAGGCGTTTAGGAGGAGTGTAGCACGTCCGCGCACCCTACCTTGCCCCTTGGCTGTTTTGGACGTCCCAGGCCCGTCCCGAGCTTAGTTTGCGGTGCAGCTGAGAGATGGCAGCACACATTTTTTTATTGTACACGTTTTTAAGGATGGCGACCGATTGTGGAGGCACGTGCGGCCCAAGCCGCACAGGCTTTAAAAAAGGAAAAAAAAAAATTAGGATCATAAACAGAAGAACAAAAACCGGTTAAGTGGTTAAGGTGAATAATGTGCGACATCATTATGCAGTTTCCTCGTTTCTTCGAGATTATCTAATCGGATACAAAACACACGTTCATGACGTGCAGGCAACGTCAACAGAAATGTTAAGTGAGTGCAGACTCCGCAGCCCACTTATGGCTGATTTACACGACGTGCTAATCTGCGGATGGGTTTATCACCTGACAAGACGTCCACGGAACGTTAGTGCCCCAAGCGCATCCGCACAAAGGAGACGAGCAGACGACAGCAAGGACATACTGAACCTATTCGCAGCCCTGAAATTTTGCAAAACGCCAACATCGCAGTGTGGCACTGTTTTCCAAGAGCAGAAGTGATGTTACGACTAGGATCACGGTGCTATCATGAGAAGGAATCGTTGTGTGCCGCTGTTACGTACCAAGTGAGCCAAAACATAGTGGCAGGCTTAGCGCGAAGTGTCACTTACTTTACTAACTACATGACACAAGTATAATCCTCCTTCAGGAGGCTTCAGCATCATAGCGATGAAGTCCTGGGGTCGTGGAGAGGCATTTGGAAATGCCTTTACACACTGCTTTCTTGTACACCACTCTTCAGCACACTACAGCCATAAGAAAGGTTTTGCTGGATGGAAAACTGGGTGGATGTGCAGGAAAGATTGCAGTTTGCTAGGCGAGTCTTGACAAGCTTCTTGACACCAACCCGGAGGAGTACCAGAACCTGCGGCGTGTCAGCCGGGCAAAGTTCTTGCAGCTTCTTTCACGCGTGGAGATTTAAGAGTGGCGCGACAAAACAATGATCCACTCTCTTTGTTTGGCTAATTTGAAAAAAATAATATTGGTGAGCTGTTGCTACTCTACCGTAAAAACGCTTTTCCAGTTACTCACTTGCCAAAAATCTGCGATTAGAAAGGCACTCTGCCCTTTCAGTGTGGGTGTCCACGGACGAGGGACAAATCGCTGGAATAGCCTACGTGATGGTAACTTGACATATGGTGCACGAATGAAAATTGCAATTTGATGTATCGTGTGAATTTGCCATTATTTGGCAATTATCCTAATATGATCAGTTGATCCTAATTAAGAAAGAATAATTGTTCTCTGAAACAATGTAATGAAAGGAGGTTTTTATAAATAATGCCTGCTCATTTGACAATGGAAAAGGCTTGGTGGAACAGAGACTTTCCGTAGATGAGATATTACGAATTGCAGGCGTATGCTTAATTGAGAGAAGAGTAAAAGTACAGGCAAGGCTGGGTGAATTGCACACATAACTAAACCTGAGACAAAAGAAAAAGAGAATGACAAACGCAACACGTCTCAACCACAGCTGCATTTTTTTTACTTGTTAGTCGGTGGGTTGATTTTGGCAAGTGTGGGAGCGTCGAGGGCAGTTCTTCTTTTGTTCGCCCTTGCTGACATTCTGGGGGTGTGACTTGGTGTGAGGGTTCTTGGCGTTGACTGCGGTGGACCCCTATAAAATGGTGTGGTTTTAGAATGAACCTGCAGCTGTGTTCGAGACATTATGTGTGTCCTCCTCTTTTTTGTGTACTTCTTTTTTCTTCTTCCGGTGTCTCAGATTTAGTTATGTATGCTTAATCCATGCTCAAAGCGAAGACATGAGCTTGTGCTGACATTGCCAACCTTTTGTGTATGGTCTATGAAAAGTGCTTAATGACTATGGTTAAGGGAGAGAAGTTTCTGCTTTCAAGAACAGCATGGGTTGAATGGAAAAGTGTCCTCACGAACAATGAATTCTCCGGGTTACCCACTCAGTCGAACGGAATTACGTAGGGTAAGCACTTCAAAATCTTTAGGATTTGCTAAGGGATGAAACAAATTAAACACACAAAAAAGTATGGGGAGGAGAATGGCACAAAGATTTTGGGGCTTGTGTTCTTACATTTGAATTTTTTGTGTAGGAAGCATTAAGGCCCGTTCACACCCTTGCGACCGAGTAAGACTGATGAGACCAGGCCGGTTTTCAGGCCCCTTACGATCTCTTAGCGCATCCCGTCCTAAGAAGTCACAAAAGGCTTAAAAACCGGTCTGGTCTCTCTCAGTCTTACTCGGTCGCAAGAGTGTGAACGGCGCTTTACTGAAACAGCACTTATGTCCTGGGTTCAATAAGTCATTGCTAGTCAATACCCGATTCCACACATGCATTTCGGGCAAACACCTCTTAAAAGATCCTTAAAAAAAAAGAATTTTTTTTTTTTACAGTCTATTAAAAACACTTGTGTCAAAAAAACAAACAAATTTATGTGAAAAGAATTAGTCGCCTTGGTGGCTCCGAGGCGAGAGCGCCGGCCTACGGATCCCCAGGTGGCGGGTTCGAATCCCGACCGAGGTGCCCGCAATATCACGGAGGCTTATTGCGGAGAAGGCGCCGTGTAACCGAGCTTTCGGTTGCACGTCAAAAGATCCCCAGGTGGTCGATATTAATCCTCCGCTGGAGCGTGCCAGGTGCCCGTCGTTGGTTTGGCACGTAAAAACCCCAAATTTGACTTTTGCGAAAATAATTAATTTTTTAGAGCAATATTGACAGCGAGAGATTTATTTCAAATTCTGTGCGCAAAGTCTATGACGTCACGGAATGGTCATTCGCTCTCGCCACCTCAACATGAAGGCGAAGCTGATCCCATTCTCCTCCACTCGCTCGAAATGCCCAGAGGAAACAAGTGGAAAGGAGGTGACGACCGACTAAATCGCGTCTCGCGCCGTCACTATTGCTCTGAGAGAAAAAAAAATTTTTCACGTAAAATTAATTATTTGATGCGTGTCCCAACCAGGCTGTTTAAAAAAAAAACATTTTGTTTTCTTTTCAGGGGCCCTTTATTGAAACAACTTTGCTCTCATTGTCCTAATTTAACACTATTGTGGGAAATCACTCAGGAAGCATGAACCGCAAAATTCGCACGTGAAAAGGATTGGTAATTTTTAACAAGATGTTTTGTCTCTTCCAGTTGTACCAAAAAGTGCATAAGGGTGGACATTACTTAACCGTCGTTTCAATCCTGGGGACGTTGAGTCATTGCTAACCAGGGCCGGTCACTGCTAGCCAAAACAAGACTTCATAGGTGCATATGAGGTTAGTACTTTTTTCTGGTAATTATTTTTTTATTTTAACGAGACAGCCTTGAAATGCAGAAGAGAAATTCTTTCAGAATATACGTACCATAATATACCGGGCAAGTGCCCACTCAAAATTTAGAGATGATCGCGAAAAAATGGGGGATGGGCGCTTGCCCGATCATCAATTTTACATATAAATGTACCGTGCACATTTTTTCTTATCTTAGAAATTTGGATATGGGCGCTTAATGTGGAATGGGCGGATGCGCGGTATTCTACGGTAGTTTCTAATTTCCAGAGAATTGAGCTCATATCTCTGAAGTCCCAAACCAAAAGCACAGATCCCTGCAGACGCTGTAGCCTATTTTTTCCGAACGTCTTGCAGTTTTGGAGGTTTGCTTTATATAATGAACGATTCAACTCTGCTGGTGCAAGGGCATCGATAGATTTCTGGAACCATTCAACACAGACGAAGCACATTATCTGGCGTATGGCTTGTTAACCTCAAAGTGTATGTCCTATACCTTCTTCCAGGTGCTGGGCATGTTGAGTTTGCGATCCTTTACCCTTACTCCGAGTGCAGCAACTATACTCTGTTTCACGATAACTTGATGAGCTGTGGAGGCTGCGGCCTTCGCGACCGAATAAGAGCGTCGAAGCAAGGCATGTGACAGCAACCCCATGGTTGAGGTTGCTGACGAATCGCATGGTTGAGGTTGCTGTTGAATCGTTTTTGCGAATCGCCTACAATTGCGGAAAAATTAGGTCCCGCGAACAATTCCGGTAAAATTTAAACACATTGGAATCTATATCGAGATCCCACTGCATCACGAAAATTAGAACCCGCGAATTATTTCAAAACTTCAGCTTCGACCTCAATTGCAAAATATGGAGCCTGCGAAAAATAAGTCTACAGTAAGCACAAATAAAGTTATTTCCTTATTAATTCCGAGGTTTGAGTGTTTCTGGCTTACATTTGTCGTTTAAACTAAAATTTGTGCTTAATGAACTGCAGGGATGATTTACTTAACTAAAAGTTCCTGTTCATGAATAAAATAATTTTTTAAAATTATACTATACTAAGATTATGTGGCTACACTTCCATTAAGTATACTGATAGTGCAGCTTGTTCTTGGTACTCCAAATAGTTTTGAACACGAGGCTTTAGAGATTAGAAGGTGGGTTTAACGGAATTTTCATAGAACTTGTTCAGGGTGCAGATTTTCTGAATTGACATAGTGCTTATTTGAAGACCAAAAACCCTTTTTCATTGGAAACTTGGGCAGAAAGTGAAAGGAGTATGCTCCAGGAAGGTGATGGAGAGGATAGTACAAGAACACTCGGGGACGTCAGAATGCCAAGCTCTCATTCGAATGATCAGTGGGCAGACCTAAGGCTAGCAGCCTTTTTCTCCCCTGCACTCATTGAACCTGTTAGAACGTTAACAGGGTGTCTAGCGACCGGGGAAACCGGATATTGTCAGGGAAATTTTAATTGCCGGGAAAAATTGGGGAATTGTCAGGGATATTGTTAAAAAGCGAGCCCAGTCAGGGAAAATGAGCCGGAAATGTCATGGAGTGCCCTGAACAAAGGCTTGAAGACTTCGGGGCAGAAAAATTTACAATAAATTCTGCCTAAAGCGGAGCACAGGCTCTGCTCATCGAACGTATTGTGCTACCCGATGCAACGGGAACAGCCGACGAATCCAGTCCAAGCCTTGGATTGGATTGAAGGCGCGACACAAGGCTACATTCAGTTAGTTACTAGATTTTGTAACAAATGGAAAAGCCGCAGACCCCAATCTAATTCAAGCCTTAAGCCAAAAGTATCCGAACGTGCATCTGGCGACTGTGCTGCCATTTGGTTGTTGACGTGTGTGGTTGAACGTCGTGTTTTCACCATGTTTCCGGAACTGGGCTCTTCACTGACAATGTCGGCGGCAAGAAAGTACTCGTTTAATGTGGACTGGCCAAACCTGAATATTTCGGAATATGCAGGTTGGATTAAGCCCGTGCAAAATGATCCTTACAGTGCTCAATGCCTTATGTTGTAATCATCTTATATATTCAACCGGCTCTAAAGTGGTCAAAGAATTTCACCTGAAATTGTCAGGGAAAATCTGGAAAAGTCGGGGAATTTAAAAATAATATTTTGCTAGACACCCTGGTTAAATGCCTGGCGTCCGACCTTTGGTTTTCGCATTCGAACACGTTCGACGAATGCGGTGGAGACAAAGGCAGCTAGCTTTCCGTCTGCGTACTATTTATTTCAACCAGAGATTGGCGTTCTGACTTCCCCGTGCGCTCTCGTATCCTCCTCTTCCTCAGTTTTCTGGCAGATACTTTGATGCCTCGATTTTCAGTGCTAAAAGAACTATTGTTACGAATGCTAGACGATTGCAATACAGCATGTGAGTTTATTTTTATGCTCTCATTATTTTATGAAATTGAAACAATTTGGGTTTGGAGGTTATTTCGCTGGCAGAACATTTTGCAATTGGGAGTTGTATGCTATGTATTTTCCGTCATGCGTGATGTATTGCCTTAATAAATGTTTGTGATTGTTTTCAAAATGTGAAAGTTGCAGAAGTTAGATGATTTTTGGTTTTGTTTAAATTACGTCGCAGGTGTGTCAGCCTGTGACCAGCTGGGAAAGCAGATGGAGCTCGCCTCAAAGAAATGCATCAACATGCACGAGCTGCTTCAAAGACTGAGACTGGAGGACAAATAAACGAGCCTGCGGGTGGAATGCATGTTCACAATTTCTCAAAGTTTGAGCATTTCTCTGTGCATGCACTTTCTGCTATCTTGCATATGCTTTAAAAGGAAAGTGCTTCCCTGCTGAACTTCATGTTTCACTGACGAGTGAACCATGTGGTTAATACGACCGATATACACCAATACGCGGTCCTGACGTCACGTCGCTACGGTGGCGCTGCTACTGTTAGGGCGCATGTGTAGACGCTTTACGTTACGTGAATGTCGTTCTTGCGCACGCGCAGTGCTCGCACCTCGTGTGGAAACTGAATTTGCCCACACCTCATGAGGGCTTGTTGGTAAATAGTGCGTTGGCCTATAGATCATATCAACGATTTCATCTGCATAAACAATATCACCCATAACAACCATATAGACCATACAAACCATATGGACCGTACAAACCATATGGACCATACAAACCGTACCAACCCGTATCAACCATATGACCCGTACGACCTGTACCAACCGTATGACCCATATGACCCGTACCAACCGTATGACCCGTACAAACCGTATGACCCGTATCCCATAACGATATATGAAGACCCGTATGAAAAATTCGTATGGTTTTTTTCAGTAGGGTACTTACACAATTTGAAAGCAACGCTATTGTTGTTGGTATATTTGTAGATTATTCGAAAGCTTTCGATTTTGGTAAGTCATAATGAATTGTTAAAAAAGCTTGCATGCTACGGTATTCGTGGACAGGTGTTGTTCTTTTGAAGTCGTACTTATCTCATCGAAAGCAGGTCGCTGAAATAAATAGTATGTTCTCCAAAGTTCAACCCGTCCTTTGTGGCGTGCCTCAGGCTAGTATACTGGGGCCGCTACTCTTTAACATTTATCTTAATGACATTGGGAACCTCAACCTTACTGCAAAACTCATTATATGCGCGGATGACACAAGTATTTTCTTTTGTAATAATGACATCCACAAACTTGTAGACAAATGTAATTTTACAACGAAAGCAATAGAATAGTGGTCGGCTTCTAATTTCATGCAAATAAATGAAGTAAAAACTAAAGCAGTCATATTCAGACAAAAAAACAAGCCAGTTCCAGTACATAAAGATATCATCCTAAATTCACGTTCTATAGAAATTGTTGAAAATTATAAGTGTCTTGGTGCTGTATTTTCTTCCACTATGTCGTGGGATGGCCCCATAAACCATATAGTAGCTAAGATAGCTAGGATCACAGGCATTATAGGTCGTATTAAATACCTTCTTTCCACAAAAATTAAGTTACACTCTATATTTCGCTCTTTTACTCTCATCTAAACTATTGTGAATTGGTATGGGGAACAACAACATTTTCAAACCTTCAACTTGTTCATATATTACAATAAAAGACTTCGGCATATTTGCAATGAGCCGTATAGAGCGCCAAGTAATAACTTGTTCTACCGCTTCCATGTGATTACTGCATTCAACTTGTATCGAGGTCGATTAAGTACGAGGTATAAATTAGAAATACGAAACAATATTACTAACTTACGTGATCTGGCTCATCTTTAAATAAAGAACATAACTAGCTTCTCAACAAGGCATAGAGAAAATCGGGGAGAGCGTACACCTCGTTCGAGCTATGAAAAAGATTGCCTAAGTTTCATACTACAGTTTTGATTTTGTGCACTTTGATTTATTTACCTGTAAGTACAGTGAGTCTTGTGCATTTAGATTTATTTACCTGCAAGTACAGTGAACCCCGTAGAATCTATGAAACCGAGAGAGCATGATTTTTACGATTGCTTTTTGTGTAAATGTGTGCGCCCTAAACATTTATGATCACAATGATTTTTTGTGAGTGTGTTGTTGCAATGTTCTGTTAAGATTACTTTTCTTCACGCCTTTTTTTTTTGTTTTTGTTTTTCTCATCTGTGAATGCTTTAGCAGGATGCTGCTTAGCTGCCAATAATAAGGGTGTGTGGATTTCTCAAGCTGCAATGCTGTAGTTTTTTTCCACAGCTCCTTCATCTTCTTTATACAAGGTGAAAATAAACTGATATGATTTAATTTGATTTGAAAGTTCGAAAGCCATCACTTTGATCTCCAACAGTCTTTTGGGAGTGACGAAGGCAGTTTTCTTGCAGTCGCGTTCGTCGACTTCAATCTGCCATTAGCCACTCTTCAGGTCCGTCGACGAGAAGTATCGGGAGTGGCGCAGTCGGTCTAACGTGGGTCGATGCGGGGAAGCGTGTAGACGTCCTTTCTAGTCACAGCGTTTAATCGACGATTGTCCGCGCAGGACCTTGGGGTTCCGTCTTTCTTCTGTACAAGGACAACTGGGGACGCTCACGGACTTTTTCAGGGTTGAATGGTGACGTCGTTTAGCACTTCCTGGAATTGATGGGTTGATTGATTGATTGATTGGCGGTTTATGACTCATCAGCTTCTAAGGCTATATTGCGACAAGCTTAGACTTTTGAAGTTTGGGTTTAAGAAGAGGAAAAAGTTATAGTAGCGCAATATGTGGTAAAACTATGAATACGAATTTGTGTACGTGCGAAAAATAGGACAACGGGTTTGGGATAAAAAGTAAAATCACAGGTGGTGTAGAAGGCCTATGCCTGTGAGGAAATTAAGAGCACAACTGTATGAAATGAGCGGCTCATCACCTAGTGGTAGGGCAAGGTGTAGGGGACCCGCCCAGTGGGTCCTCAACAAGATCTTCTTGATCTTGTTGGGGTGCACATCGAATCTTTGTATAATTGGTTTTAACTATATCCGCAAGAGGTAGCACTGGGCAATACATGTGTCAATGCCTCTCAAGTGTATAGTGTTGTTTGATGAAAAAGATATAAAACGTTGAATTACACTGCCACATCTGAAAGTTTTTCATTGCATATTCAGGTCAGTATATATTTATGTCAGCAATCACCAAGATTAGTGGGTTAGGTGCTGATTTCTAAAGGAAAGCGGATGTTATAGAGTGGCCAACAAAAAACAATTCCTTTTTGCAATTTTGGTCTACAGAGCAATTTCTTTTTTTAAATATAATGTCAGCGCAATAAGGTAAATAAATGATATTATGGGAGTCAATAAATAAGTGTTTCCTAATTTTTCATACGAGCCATGTGAATGACCAGCACGTGCACACCATTTCAGCGAGAGCTCGCTTATTAATAACTAGAAACATTACTTTGCAGGTTGCTCCGGATTTCATGAAGCATTTGCTTGTGACCTCACATATCTTCAGTTTCCCTGCTAGATTTCGCGGGAAAAGTGAGTTCAACTTACTTCAACGCCGATTCAATTTCCTCGCTAAATTTAAGGGGGGAAATGATGTCACATGACTTCAGTTCACGTGGCCTATACACGAATACACGAATTCAGTATTTCCGCTGAATTTAGCAAAAAATTGACATTACGTTATGTATGAATAAATTCACTTTCTTCGATGGATTTAGTAGGAGAATTGACGCCACCTGGCCTAAAGGCCAATTCAGCTTCCCGCTGAATTTAGCGAAGAAATATGGTCATGGTTTCATGTAACCTGACATATATATGCAAATTTATTTTTTACGTCAAATTTATCTGGGAAATAATGTCACGTGACCTGATGTAATGTATTCAATAGACCGTGAGAGACGTTCTGATTGGTTAGTTTTTGTGTTCAAAATCATTTTATTTCATTTTCCTTCTTAAAATATGGCTGTCGTCTATACGAGAGATCTGTTCTGTAATAAAGTCCTCCAAGTATGTCTAAAGCCGAATACCACAGAAGCGTTGAGTAGGTTTTATTTTCCAAGCTTCGGTTTGTTGGGTGAGAATGTAGCGTCAGTTAGGGCACCACACTATATGAGTGTACTTTCCAGTAATTGCACATGATGAAGAAAACAGCTCAGAAAGCACGGACTACGAAGAGCAGTACAGACGACAGGACAATGCTGTAATAAAGGAAACAAAGGCAGAAAAACATACTCCGTATCTTAAAATAATGCACACAAACAGAGGACCACTCTCGCCAACCATGAAGCGTGTCAATGAACTACCCGTTCAATATGTGAGTCATTTTTTTCCTGCAGAAAGGTTATCGCTTCAGCTGCTAGCACATAAAAGACCATGACACAATATGTGGAAGGGCTCTATAATCTCTCTCGTCACCCTATCCTTGTGTGCGCCCAGGACGGTGACCCTGCCAAAATCTGGCCGACATTTGCACCGCGTTTCCCATAACTTGAATCAAGTAGGTGGTAGATATGAAATACCGGTAGTGTTTTCGGCGCCCCGAAGAGTAGGCCAGATATCTTTCAGTGTTGGTTCGGGGGTAGATGGTCGGTACAGTGTAGTAGTAGCAGTAGATTGGGGTGTTGCGGCGCAGAAGCAACTAAGGCAATGATGCGCCAAGAAATGGTACTATCGCAGAAGAGGATGTTGGAGAAGAAAGAGCTTTAGTAGCTGGTAATGGGAAAAATGTATAAAATAAGAGTAGGATCTTACATTATAAATAATGCTACAATTTGTGTAAAAGATGAACGCCTTTTTAAAAACTTAAAAACCTGGGTGGGTAGGAGTAGTGGCTTATTCCCAAGAAACACACATATGTGTAAAGGAACATGCTCTTTGTACAGTTGGGAAAAGTAGTGGAGGCGCTTTTCATCATAAGCAGGACATTCTAGAAGGACATGTAAGACACTCAACGGTTCCTGGCAATGTTCACATTCAGGAGGGTCCTCACCGCGTAAGAGGTGTCCGTGCGTGAGCCGCGTGTGTCTACAAAGGACTACCTCATAAAACCTGTCTTTGTGTCTAGCACCCTGCCACTCACTAAGAAAAGGCTTAATCATGTGCAGTTCGTTTGACACCTGTAGGCTCCATTCTGATTGCCACTGAGCTTTAACATGGTATTTGATTAGGGCACAGTAATCTCTGTATGGGATGCAACTGATGTCTACAGCACGGGTGCCAGAAGTGCCCGCAGCACGATCTACCTCTTCATTTCCTTGAATTCCGACATGGCTTGGTACCCAGCAGGGTAGAACATTACATCCTTTCCTGGTTGCTGCTACAATTTTGTTTTGTATTAAAGCAACGAGGGCATTCTTCGGAATTTCAAGCGACGTCAGAGACCGCAAAGCACTCAGCGAAT